CTCTCTCTCTCTCTCCTAGAAATAAATAAAAATATTGAAAAACATATTAAAAAAAAGAGGTAGTGATAGTGTGGGCTGTCTGAAATAATGAAAGTAGGATGCAAACAATGGAATCTGAGGAAATATAAACCCTCAGAGGGGAAAATGTAAAAACCTTCTGAAAGTTTAGGGGCGCCTGGGTGGCTCAGTCGGTTAAGCGTCCAGCTTTGGCTCAGGTCATGATCTCACAGTTGGGGAGTTAAAACTGACAGCTTGGAGCCTGGAGCCAGCTTTGGATTCTGTCTCCCTCACTCTCTGTCCCTCCCCGTTTTGTGCATGGGCGTGCTCTCTCTCTCCCTCTCTCTCAAAAATAAATAAGCATTAAAAAAAAAAAACTTTTTGAAAATGTAGTGTTAGGGCGCCTGGGTGGCTCAGTCAGTTAAGCGTCCGACTTCCGCTTAGGTCATGATCTCGCGGGTCGTGGGTTCGGGCCCCGCGTCGGGCTCTGTGCTGACTGCCAGCTCGGAGCCTGGAGCCTGTTTCAGCCTGTGACTCCCTCTCTCTCTGACCCTCCCCTGCTCACGCTGTCTCTCTCTCTCTCTCTCTCCTAGAAATAAATAAAAATATTTTTAAAAAATGTTTAAAAAAAAAAGAAAATGTAGTGTTAATTGTTTGAAGCCTCTCCCAATGTCTTGTAATACAAATACGAAATATGCTCTGAGTGGCAGACGTTTTAAATGACATTAAAATTTTTTCTTCATTTTGAGAGAGAGGGAGCATGAGCACGGGAGGTGCACAGAAAGAGGGAGAGAGAGTGAAAGAGAGAGAGAAAGAGAGAGGAGAGAGGGAGAATCCCAAGCAGGCTCCGTGCCGTCAGCACAGAGCCCCACTCGGGGCTCCAACTCATGAACCGCGAGATCATGACCTGAGCCAAGGCCGAGAGTCAGACGCTTGACCAGCTGATCACCCAGGCGCTCCTGACATTAAATATTTTTTGAAGTGTAACATGTACAGAAACAAGCATTTCAATCATAACTGTGCAACTCGATAAAATTCTCCCCAAATGGATCTACTTAATGCCATGCAATTCCGGTCAATATTTTTAGCAGAATTTTTGTGTGGATATTGACAAGTTGATTCTAAAACCTGTATGGAGACCCAAGGGGCCAGCAAGAGCCGAGACAATTCAGAAGAGGAGGAAGGCAAGTGGTGGGCTTATGCTACCAGATGCCAGAGCTCTAACGTAAATATAATAATTAACACAGTGTGGTTTTGGCGTAAAGATAGGCGAACAGATCAATGGACCAGGACAGAGTCTAGAAACAGACCCATAAATGGACAGTTCTCAGGTTTATGAGAAAGGTGATACTCGAGAGCAGTGGGGAAAAGATGGTCTTTTTAGTGGGTGATACAGGGTCGTGGCTGCTTCCCTGGCTGGGCGCACTGACGCTTGACATCTTCCGTGGGGCCTGCATTTCCAGAAGGGCACAGGGGAGTCTTGCACAGAACCCTGTGGGCCCCCCCAAGAGATCAAAATCGTAATAAGGGAGACCTGCCTCGGCTCTGCTGAGGATTAATCCCAAGTCCCCTTAAGGGTCCCCCTTCCCTCGCCAGCCCTTCTGGGTGAGGAGGCAAAACAGGGGTGTGGTCTCCAGCCTCCACTTTGGGCCCAGTGATCTTTCCCGCCTGGTGTTCATTTCCGTCTGCAGTTTCCCCTTACGCTGACTCAGAGTGGAACTGGATGCTAGCAGAGCCCCGGGGAGGCGATGGCGCTCGACTTCGGAGGCTGGGCCAGGTCAGACATTACAGCCTCTAGCCTGGTCCCGTGGGTTGTTTTCTCAGGGGGCAGCCGGCGGCCACGTCGTGGGGACAGTCCTCTGCAGTGGCCCACGTGGAAAGAAACCGGTTTGTCACCCCGGGTCGCCGGCCATGTGAGTGAGGCACCTGGGAAGCAGATCTCCAGCCCCAGGTAAGGCCTTCAGATGACTGTGGCTTCGAGCTCAGGTCCCAGACATCGTGGGACAGAGACAAGTCACGCGTCCTGCGCTCCGTCCGAACAGATTTCCGTCCACGGAAATCGTGAGATGATAAATGACTATTAGTTCGTGGCACTAAGTTTTCGGGCGTTTTGTTTTGCGGCGATGGGCAGCTCACGCGGTGGCTCCAGCCCGATGCCCCTCTGGCCCAAACCCTTGATGCTGGGAAACTCCTGCCCATCAGCCTCACCCCAGTGCAGCGCCCCCGGGGGCTGCTCATCCTCCTGACCCTCTCCTTGCCCTGTGCAGGGAGGCGGAGGGCGGGGCCAGCACACTGAGCTCCCACTGGGAAAGCAGATGCTTGTGGCCCCCACCCGGCTGGCAGAGCAAGTCTCCTAGCGTCCCCTCGCCTTGGCGACGGCGGGGAGGGGAGAAAAACCCAGGAGTCCCCAGTGGACCCTGGGCCTCCACGGATTTCCTCCCGCACCCCTTCCCTTACTCTTGCTCATGTAGGGGTGGGGGTGGGGGGCAAGCATGCCTGTGGTGGGGCCGGCGCCGCCCCTTCCCTGCACACTCCCAGGGCCGTGCCTGCTCTTGCCCGGCCTTCGTAGACGTCCTTAATCGTCCTTAAATGCGAGGCTCTCAACGCTGTCCTCAGTCTTGCATCTACCTCGATTGCCAATGCCAGGAAACCGGAAAAGGCCCCGTGAGCCTCTAGGTCAAAGGTCCTCAGACCCTATTATGACTTCCTCTCTCTTCCTGGGTGTCCATGCGCTCTGGCTTCCTTTGCTCCAACGCTGTTTTCTAGGAACTCTGAGCCCTCAGCAATTTCTGGAATAAGTTATGACAGGGGCGCCTGGGTGGCTCAGCTGGTTAAGCGTCTGACTTTGGCTCAGGTCATGACCTCACGGTTCGTGGGTTCGAGCCCCGCGTCGGGCTCCGTGCTGCCGGCTCAGAGCCTGGAGCTGCTTCGGATTCTGTGTCTGCGCTCTCTCTGCTCCTCCCCTGCTCACGCTGTCTCTCTCAAAAGTAAATAAACACTAATAAATAAAACAAATGAACACGCTCTCTCTTTTCTCCAAACCTTTGCGCCTAGTCATCCTCTGCTGGCGGTCACCTTCTTCCTTCGCCCAGCACGTTCTTTTCTTACCCTTCATGAGTCACCTCATCACTGCCTCCTCTGGGAAGCCCGCCCATGACCCCTCTGTCTCCCAGGCGGCATCAGGTGCCTCCCCTGGGCCGCCCTCGCCCCTGTGCTTCCCGGATGTAGCACTTACCATGCTGTATTTGTGGCGGAGGCAGAAAGCCGTCCACCAAAGTGTAATCTCCAACCTCCATGGCAAACCGCTGCTCCCGAAGGCGGCTGCCTGCCCCGGCCCCTCGCTTCCCACCTCCTCTTGCAACCAGAGATGACGTGGGGACATGCTACAGTGTGACAGGGCCGTGGGGTAAAGAGTCACGGGTGCGTCAGCCAGGGCGGCCGCCCTAGCGGCTTTGAGACTCAGATGGAAGGAAGGATCCAGCCGCGTGAAGATCTTCGGGACGAGGAGGAGATGGGTGAGACGGAGAACTCAGAGCCGTGCTGGAGACCACGCTGATGGCTCTGCGAGCAGGAAGGGAGACGAGCTGGCGGGGCCCTTCCCACCCCGCGTCCCTGCCGCGCTTTCCTCCCCCCCACGTCACCCCCCGCTGCGCTGTATCGGCCACCTATTTATACGGCTGGTTCTCCGTGTCGGCCCCTAGACCGTGAGGTCCGTGCGGGCGGGGGTTTGGTCTGATTTGTTCACGGCGTCCCCTCCGGTGCCCCGGCCCGTGCTTGCCGCCCGGGGAGTGCCCAGGCTAGGCTTGTTGCGTGAATACACGCATGAAAGACAGACAAATGCGGCAGGGCCTTGGAGACCGTGGTGTGGGGCCCCCCGGGCAAAGGGGACCAGAGGCGCGCGCAGGGACAGGCCTGTCCTAGTAAAGGCAGGACAGAGCACCCAGAGCATGGTCGGGATGATGGCTTCAGAAGCCAGAGGACGGGTGGGGGCGCCTGGGGGCTCAGTCGGTTGAGCGGCCGACTTCGGCTCAGGTCATGATCTCGTGGTTCGTGGGTTCGGGCCCCGCGTCCGGCTCTGTGCTGACAGCTCGGAGCCTGGAGCTGCTTCGGATTCTGTGTCTCCCTCTCTCTCTGACCCTCCCCTGCTCACGCTGCCTGCCTCTCTCAGAAATAAATAAAATATTAAAAAATTGGCAAAAAAATATTTTTTAAAATAAAAAAAAAAAGAGTCACATGCTCTACCAACTGAGCCAGTCAGGTGCCCTGTTTTCTTGTTATTTATCTTTACTCTGACAGGTCTGCCCTCACGGTGACGAGAAGTCCCCCAGCAATTCTAGACATGTCTTACTCTTTCTCCACAGGGAAAACGTCTTCTTTCTTCCAGTATATCCGCCTTCCTCCACCCCAAAAAGAACCAGACTTGAAAGTCGTTGTTGTTTTTAACATTTATTCAGTTTTGAGAGACAGAGCAAAAGCGGGGGAGGAGAGAAAAACAGGGAGGCTGAATCCGAAGCAGCCTCCAGACTCCCAGCACAGAGCCCGATGCGGGGCTCGAACTCACAAACCGTGAGATCACGACCTGAGCTCAAGTCGGCAGCTTAACCAGCCGAGACTCCCAGGCGCCCCAGGACTTGAGAGTTATTAGCCTTGATTGCCCCGGAGCTGGTTGAGTGCCCATCCCTAATAGGGTTACTATGGGTGTGAGCAGGAAGGCTCTGGAAAGCCTCTGTGGCTGGTGTTACGGGAAGAGGAAGAAGACCTAGTGTCATGTGAGGTTGTCTTTTTGTGGCTACACCTGGCCACGTAAACACACACACACCTGGGACCTCTTGGAGCACAGCGACTGTGGCTGGTACATCTCTGTGCTCCCAGGGGCTGTCCTGGAAGCTGAACACTGATTTGTTTCGGATGAACAAATGAGTGGATCTTTTTTTCCTTCGTTACAGCTCGCAGGAAGATGCCTGAAGCCGCCACCCCAGATTTGTCTCACCCAGCAGCTGCTGTAGGACTCCATTCATTCTCCTGCAGATGATAGAGCACTTGATAAATCACTTTCACATCTGATTCCCACCAGAACTCAGAGTTGGTGTTATTAATGTCATTTAAAAATTTTTTTAATTTATTTTTTTAATGGTTATTTTATTTTTGAGACAGAGAGTGTGAGCGGGGGAGGGGCAGAGAGAGAGGGAGGCACACAACCCAGAGCAGGTTCGAGGCTCAGAGCTGTCCGCACAGAGCCCGATGCAGGGCTCGAACTCACGGACCGTGAGATCATGACCTGAGCCAGAGTTAGCACTTAACCGACTGAGCCCCTCAGGCGCCCCAATACCACTGCTTAATGAGGAAATCGAGGCCCAGATTGCTCGAGCGAGTTTCTCAGAGGCTCAGGGGCATAGACCGGGGGAAGTACCTAAAAGGGAAGAAGAGCAGGGGTGTGGAGGGAGAGCCAGCAAGTGATGCCTGGGTTAGTAAGACCCGCCAAGAACCCTTGAGCAAAACTGGCCAGGTTGCCTTTTAAAATTTTTCTCATTTTTATTTATTTTATATTCACAGAGAGAGCAGGCAAGCAGAGGAAAGGGACAGAGAGAGAGAGAGAGAGAGAGAGAGCATCTCAGCACAGAGCCCAACACAGGGCTCAGTCCCACGGCCCTGGGATCATGACCTGAGATGAAATCAAGACTCAGATGCTCGGGGCACCTGGGTGGCTTAGTCGGTTAAGTGTCCGACTTTCGCTTAGGTCATGACCTCGCAGTTCGTGGGTTCGAGCCCCGCGTCGGGCTCTGTGCTGACTGCCAGCTCGGAGCCTGGAGCCTTTTTCAGAGTCTGTGACTCCCTCTCTCTCTGACCCTCCCCTGCTCACGTTGTCTCTCTATCTCTGTCTTAGAAATAAATAAAACATTAAAAAAAAAAAAGACTTAAAAAAAAAAAAGACTCAGATGCTCAACGGACTGAGCCACCAGGTGCCCCTGAAACTGGCCACATCTAAGCAGCAAACCCCAGAGAACTTCATGTCGGAGAGAACAAGGCAACATTTACTCTGCTTTGAACGGTTCGGCCGCGTGGGAAGCTTTGTGCGTGCTGGGGCGCTCGGGCGTTAGGGCCATCAGAGCAAATGGTGGTCCCTGAGGAGCCCCCCAGTCTGGCTGAGGAGCAGAGGAATGAGCAGAACTCAAGCAAGCAGTGTCACGGGCTGTGACAGGGGCCTAGCAGGGCTGTGGCTTCACCGTGGGAACAGGAGAAGAGGGGGCGTTGCCAGAAAAGGGGTGTTGCAGTGCAGGGCCTGTGAAAGGAGGACTCACCCCACGCAGGGACCTGCGCCCGCACACGCTCTGCCCAGCCTTCCCGGGGCCTCGTCACACGTAGTATACACTTCACGGGTCTTCCCGTGGCCCAGGGGACCCCCGATGACCTGGTTCTGCCGTTTCTCCCGCCTCACTCTCCTCCAGCCACACCGGCCTCTGTGCTGTTCCTTGAGCAGGACGCCTTGTTCCCGCACAAAGCTTTTGCCATCGCTCTTCCATCCACCTGAAACATTTTCTGCTCAGGTCTCGTCAACAGGCTGGCTCCCCCTTGTCAACAGATCTCTGCTGAAATGTCACCTCCTCGGGGAGCCTTTCTTACCACCTGTGTCTAATATCACCTTTCCTCCAACTTCCATGGCCGTCACACGCACCATCTTATCATCTGCTTCCCATTCATCGCTTTATGGATTTCTTTTTTTGTTTTTAATTTAAATATCTCATAAGGAATATAATCTCATGGTTAAAATTTAAAGATAATATAAGGGATATGCACTGCAAATCCAGCTCACGCCCCTTATCCCATTCATTGGGTATGGTGGCTTTGTAGTACAACTAAGCTGGAACTACATTTCCCAGAATTCTCTCCCCATGTGCCTCTGTATTCACATTGGTCATAAGAGACATTTGCATGAGGTTCAGAGGGTAAAAGTGAAAGAAGAATTATACCGTCTATACTCTGAAAACCATACAGGGCCCTGGCCAGTAGGGCAGCTCTTGGTATCACTTAGCTTCCGGTCTTGCTGGCTTGAGGCACCATTGGGACCCACGCCTCCTCCAGTCGCCATGCAGTCTCTCCCTTCAGCTCCTTTGAACCATGGGCCAAGCATGTGTGCAGCTTTGTGGTCAAGGGCACCAGGTGCTGCTGCAGGTCACCTACACATGGAACTGAAGTTAGAGGTAATAAAGAAAAACTGATATGGGTTCCCTTTGGTTCTCATGGGTTCTAGTTATCCTTATGGGGTCCAATGTGCCATTGTACTCTTCCACATCGAGTGCTTTTTCCTTTCTTTTTTTTTTTTTTTTTTTAAGCTTTTCTTCCTGATTACTGGCCTACCTAACCTAAGGTTACCAGTGTTGGATCCAGCACTGAATACAGAAACAACAGCCTGCACAAACTTTTTTTTTTTAACCAACTTTTTCTTTCCAATTGTGTAGGTCTAACCCCTCCCATTAGTTTCTTAAGCTTCTTTCTCTGATTAAATCTTTATTGATATACCAGTTAACCACATTTTTTTATTTGCTGAAATATGTTCTTTTTTTTTTAATTTTTTTTAATGTTTTATTTATTTCTAGGAGAGAGAGAGACAGCATGAGCAGGGAAGGGTCAGAGAGAGAGGGAGACACAGACTCTGAAACAGGCTCCAGGCTCTGAGCTGGCAGTCAGCACAGAGCCCGACGCGGGGCTCGAACCCATGAACCGCGAGATCATGACCTAAGCGAAAGCCGGACGCTTAACCGACTAAGCCACCCAGGCGCCCCCTGAAATATGTTCTTATTCCACTTTCACTCTTCCTTCCTCCCCCCAAAACGAACATATGGTATATCTTATTCTGTATCTTGCTTTGTCACTTAATAATGTCTTGGCAATATTTCCATATCAATATATAAAGAATTCTTTTTTTTATAGTTACATACTATTCCACTGATTGGTTGCATCGTACTTTATTTGACCAGTTCCCTCTTGATGGCAATTTGAGTGGAATTCTGTGTGTGTTGGGGCGGTGGGGAGTGTGTTTACTTACGCATTGTTTACCACACAAAGTAGTAAAGACTTTGAGAGCAGAGGCCTTGGTTTTCTTGTGTTCTTAGCATGTAATAATGCTTAGTACATAAGAGATTCTAGGTGAATAGTTCATTCAGAGAACGAAACACCTCTAGACTTTCTTCATGGGTTATCTTATTTACACTCATCCCTACTCTCCAATCTCTATCGTCAGCCCAGGCTACTCTGAAGTACCTAGACTGCTCACAGGCCCCTCTCTGCTTCAGCCTCTTCCATACCTCCACTTACATGCCTCACAGAGGTCCTGTGGATCAGTATTTTCAGAATGGAACTCCTCACTCCTAACCTCACCTCAACCTCCTTTGAAACGTCCAGGCTCCAGTCTTCAATCTCTCTCCCTCTGACCTCTCAAACTCAATCAGGTAGCCCCAGGTCTCACACGTATCTAAACGAGGTGACGAACTTCCCTGAGTTTTCTGCATGGATCAGTAGGTCACAATCCCTGCCATTCCATCCCCACCCAACCTCACATGCGGTCCCAGCTTGGGCTTCCTCCTCTCTTGCTTCCAATTTAGCAGAAAGCTCTTAAAACAGCTCTGATCATGTTACCCCCTTAACTAACAACTCTGAGGTCTGTCTCCCCCAACCCAAACCTGTTGTACTGAAGGTCATTTATATAACTGTTCTTTCTCCCTCATGTTCTATAGGCCCTTTTCTGGTTTTCTATTGCTGCATGACAAAGCAACCCCCAAACATAGTAGCTTAGAACAAGAATTTGTTCGGGGCGCCTGGGTGGCTCAGTCGGCTAAATGTCCCACTTTGGCTCAGGTCATGATCTCACGGTTTGTGGGTTCGAGCCCTGTGTCAGGCTCTGTGCTGACACCTAGCTCAGAGCCTGGAGCCTGTTTCAGATTCTGTGTCTCCCTCTCTCTCTGACCCTCCCCTGCTCACACTGTCTCTCTGTCTCTGTCTCTCTCTCTCTCTCTCAGAAATAAATAAAACATTAAAAAAAAAAAGAACAGAAATTTGTTAGCATCTCTTGGTTCTATAGGTAGGCTGGGCTCAATTAGGTTGATCTCACCTGGGGCCTCTTACTTGATTACAGTCAACTTTTGGTTGGGGCTACAGTCATTTGAAGTTTAACATGCCTGGACATTCGAAATGGTGCAGTTACATGGTTAGCAGTTAGTGCTGATGGCCTGCTGGGTGGGCCGGTGGGGCTGTTGATAAGAAGACCTGTACGTGGATTGGGCTTCTCGCATCATGGAGGCCGGTTTCTGAGAAGGCGCTTCTATTGCCTGAGTGTTTCGAGACTTCTGGGTGAAAACCGTAAGGCTTTTTGTGATTTAGCAGTGAAAGTCACAGAGTGTCACTTTTGCTACACTCTATTGGCCAAACAAGTCAGAAAGGCCAACCCAAATTCAATGCACTTTCTTTTAAAAATGTTTAATTTTTGAGAGAGAGAGAGAATCTCAAGCAGGCCCTGCACTGTCAGCGCAGAGCTCTATGCCAGGCTCTAACTCACAAACCGGGAGATCGTGGCCTGAGCTGAAATCAAGAGTCGGACCCTTAATTGACTGAGATACCCAGGCGCCCCCACCCCAAATTCATAAGGAAAGGAAGCAGATTCCACATCTCGAAGTAGGAGCAAAGAACGTGCCACCCTCTTTAATCTACCATAGACCACCTTCCAGACACAAATTGTGTATATTACTTCATTGCGCAAAAGATATTCACCTCCTCCCAAGGACCCTTGAAGTCTCATCCCAAAACATCATTGACTCATAATGCATCTTGTCATATAAATCAGTTCCGGGTCCAGATGATTACTCAAGAACAGCTTCTTGAGTATTATTCCTCTTGATCTGAAGACCCGTAAACTACGGACAGGTTTTCTGCTCTTCAGAAACCCAACAAATAGAGTTGACGGGCTTGAGGTGGCCAGAGCCGACACTCCTGATGTAACAAAGGGGGAAAAGAGGAGTGACCTAGCTACCATTGGGTCATAGCAGTTCTGAAATCCAGCTAGGTATGCGTCC